TAATGGCTGATAGTATAAAACTTTAAAAATGAATTGACAGTCCATTACATCTGTTTTCGTTTAAGATTAACTTCCTGGAATCAAGTTGTCACCAATAGTCGATGTGATAGTGTGCCGTAATCTAAATTATTCATCCACATTTGCATCGGATCCAACACTCACGGTATGCCCAAACTGCGACAAATGTTATCGAATTTGAAAATCTCTTTCTAGATCTTTGATTATATATATATATAAAATATTTTATTAGTTTTATTTTTCCCCGGCCTTATGGAAGAGATTAAATTTGCACCCACGCAAAATAAATAATAATTAGGTGGTCCCCCTTGTAATGTTGATACACTACACCTTGGAGAACCATTTCTTGTTGAAGAATGTAGGAAAAGGAGACGTGCCTAAAAGACAACGCAGACAGGGGCCACAGCCCCATCAACGTCGAACTAAATCCTAGCTGACGGAAGACCGTGTCCCACGACGACACAGTGACTGTAAAACTAGTGAACTGAACAAGTCCTACAGAATTCCTAGTGCTGCCAGACGTCCGGAATCCCACCCTTTTAGGGGTTGACTTTATCTAGGCCCCCCCCCTCCCTGATCCCGAACCTGCCCGATGTATACAGAGATATTTATTAAGAAGTAGACATAGGGATTTATGTGTATTATTTTTTCCTTGTTTACTTTTAAAAGACGAATCTCTTCTGAAGCACGCCTAATTTTATGCAACCAAAATAACTCTAGTGCACTCTCTGCACTGCCTATTCTGGGTTTATTTTTTAGTACCTCCTAATTCCAAACAATATTCAAATGAATTAATATGACAGCCAGATCTTTATTTAATGAAGAAGTTATTTTGGTTGCATAAAATTAGGCGCCCTTCAGAAGAGATTTTGTCATTCGAAAGTAAACATAGGGAAAAACAATACACCTAAATCCCTATGTCTACTTCTTAATAAATATCCCTGTATATTGGTCATTCATCGACGGCGCCAGAAAACACTTCTTCGCACCGGAACCTGTCACCCACTTCTTCGACTACACGCTGACCCTTCTCAGTCTGTCGATTCCAAATCAAGGACCCCCAGATGCGCATCTAAACGACCCTCGGCCATGAGCGTGCCGAGACCTGAACCTATTCGGAAGGAGCCCAAGCCGCCTCGACGCCGGCGCGGCATCCACTTCCACTTCCCACCCTAAATCCAGAGTTGTACAGTTTTTTCGCGGACAGTTCCTGTGCAGCCAGCGGCGCCACTGAGCACGCGGCCACATCCAAATACACAAGACATAGACAAGCTAAATACTCTTCAACTAGAGAGCCGGACACGTTTTCTCTAGGCCCATATCATTAGCGCTACATTCGATTCTCACTGGGCCGTGCCAGCGAGTCGCCTCGCAGCAGGTACTACAAGAGGAACTCAATCACATGCTGCAACTGGACGTCATTGAGGAATGCGAGGTACCCCGGGTCTCCCCTGTTGTCATGGTCCCGACGGAACCATACGACTATGTGTGGATTATAGAAAATTGAATGCAGTGACCATCCCAGACAGTTGGCCATTCCCACGGATTGACGATCTCCTAAATGCCGCACGTGATTTCAACAATAGATGCCCCATGGATAGAGACTAGACCGCCTTCATATTTCCCCTGCTCTGGTACAAAAGAATGCCTTTTGGCCTAAAGAATGCCCCTCGCCACGTTCCAGCGTCTAATCGATCACGTGAAGGGCCAATTAGTCAGGATAACTCTCCTCGCCTACCTCAACGACATCATACTACTGCCCAACGACGCGAAAACGCACTTGCATGATCTCGCCGCGGTCCTCATCCGCGTAAAGCATTGCCACTTGAAGGCTACACGGAGAAAATGGCACTTCCTGAGGGAACAAGTTAAGTACACTCCAACCTTCAACAGTGCCCATCCTGTGAAAACCGCCGCCATCGTAGAACTTCGGGTACCAAAAAACCTCACGCACCTTATGTCCTTAATATAAACGTGCTTGTCGTACAGACGCTTCGTACCCGATTTGGCCGATGTGGGAACCGTGTAACGATTTGTTTTCTCCATTACGAAGTATTATTATTGTTTATTACTTGTCAACAGATCCCTGTAACATTTAAAGCAATTTAATAGATAGCTCCACCTATTGTTGGAATTTAATAACGTCAATTTGCCGCGCATACGGTCAGCGCCTTGATTAGTAAGTATCGATTTGACTTTCCTTCATAAGCCGTAACAAAATACACTTCGTTTAAACAGCTGAAAGCGCGAGTTAGAACGCATGGAATTTTAATTGCCATCATCCGTATATATTGATCTCAGGCGATTTGATTCATAATCTGAGGATTCAGAAGTAATCAGTGGACCGGATTCACCTATAACTCCTGCAGTGTGGATATACTTTGTGTTCTTCCTTTTTATCGTAAATACCGCCATTTGCATTTCGTGTATTGAGGTGTACCTTTCTTTAGGTTCGGCTGTAATTTGTCACACTGCATCGACGATTGTTGCATTCATCTATGATTAGCCCTCTAATTTAAGAGGTATGTAAATTTTATGTTATAAAAGAAGAGGGGTTACCTTTGATTTCTTTTAGGGTTTTTATTTTCAGTACCAGTATACATTCCGGATACGTTTTACTGTACCTACAATTCTTGTTCCGACATACGAGTTTGGTAACCTTGGATTAATCCCAGCATTGTCTGCGAGCGCCGTCACCGTTGGCGTCTGTTTCCACATAATGCTGATAATAAGCGGCCAGTTTGCTATGGGTCACGGTCAAGGATCGAACCTCATAAGGGACAATTTCTGTAATTCTTTAGCGTCTTAGTTGATAACTAGTTTGCCCCTTCAGGGTTATATGCTTTTACATTTAAGTAATTTGTGAACATACTCAGTATCTATGTCATCTCGGTTAAGTTATGATCGGGTTTGAAACGCGTATGTTGTTGGAAATCCATGGAATATTAAATTTGATGTACACGACGTTTACTCGCGATCTACCCCTTAAGACCACCACTTCCTTCTGGAGGGGTTGACCAATTAAATATCGTGCCTGGTATAGAAGTAGATTACGAGTTAACGAGGCCCTTCAGGCATTAATCAACTAATTATATACAAAGCCCTGCGATATGGGAGGTTTTCGTATGATTGATTTCAGGTTTTGGATGCGAGAACTGAGCTCATATCTTGGCGTCGACATCTAATTTTATTCGAGGTAAGACTTGCCTTATATGTTTTACGAATTAGTTTGCTAGTCGATCATTCTTGATTGGGGGAATTTCTATTGAGAGTGCATTTACTAAGAGCTTTGAGTAATGCAATTTATAATTTTGAGTATTTAGGGGGAGTATTTTGTATTTGTGTGATACGCGATGCAATTTTGGAGAGAACTTTTGTTTTTGCCATTTTATGTTTGAATAAACCAGTATTTCTTCTGGTACCTAAACTGATTTGTACTGTTATTAATGAAAAATGCATACAACATTTTGGAAAATTATAATTGATCGCCGGCTCGTGGGGCGCAGTTCAGTTAACTGAACTGCGGTGTAAGGGTCTCTGGTTCGGACATGGATATTTGTAAATGTACAGTGGGTTGGGTTGGCTTGGCTGAAACCCCACCCACTCAAAAATAAAATTAAAAAAATAATAATAAAATCGAAATTTGGTATCTTTTTTGAGTCGATTTTCGACGAAATTGATTTAATTATTCAGAACTGTGCGGATCTCCTCAGGAACTAGTTTTGTTCTCGGAACTTTTATGGCGGCGCCCAAATTGTGTCGAACCCATTAGACAACATAGGAACATGGTAACAGAAACACTGGCAGCTAGTTCATAATTGAAGCAAATAAGCAATTGAAGGGGGTGGCAGCTGAAGCGTGAAAATTCCAAATTGTTTAATAGAAACATAACATTAAAATTGCAAAACAGAACCGAAGGTTAAATTGAGTGGCTAAAGATAGTTGCAGCGCCACAATAAATTAGAGCATTTAAGTTGACTAATTACTTCTCCATCGTCAATTGGATTTCACGCTAAAACTGCGAAATGCCTAATATAACTCGAGAGGATGTTGCGTACGGTCATGTTTTAAAAGTGCACTATACACGACGTTGACGAAAAACTTCTTGAAAGGTTCGAAGCAGACTCGACCTACTTAATTTGATTAAAACTAACCACTCCTATTTCAATACGTTTTTCTCATAACCGTGACGTAACAGGAAAGCACTTACTTGCTAAAAGTTGGAAGAAAAACTAGTCCCTCGTGTTCATAATCTTGGCGCCATACAATTAAGAACCAATTAGAAAATTGTTACGCAAGTACCGCATGTATCTACTTAGGAAGATTTTTTGGCGATAACATGGAAAATTGCATCACGTGCTTCGACTGAAACTATGCGAGGGTTGATTAAGTAAATTGGTGGTGCGTGCTACTATGAAATGAAATTTATGTTCCTCTTAATAGACACATTAAATAATCATTCGATTAAAGTTAATTTAATTCGAGTCAAAAATCTGTCTTGCTTTTGATGTGGTGGTGCGATTATCTTCCTCAAGAAAGTCTCAACATGATGCGTTCTGGGTGCATTCACCGAAATAACACTAACCTCAAGAACTGGTTTTTTTTAAACATTAATAATTAATTATAAAAGTAAAACAATATGTTTCGAAATGTAAAACATAACTGGGTCAAAGTCGTACGTCAAATTTAATGGTTCAGATACAGGTCCATACTTTTACGTTTCCACATGGTATGAATTATGCGAGTTTAAGTAGTGCATGGACGACCTATTTATTAACAACAACGATAAAAAAACCATCAATAGAACCCATCGATTATCTAATATACCCGCCAATTTTAAAAGCATTTTAATTGCGTTGGCCGAAATTGAAAGCGCCAAAAATAGACAGTAGGTCAGATTTGCAGGCCGCGTTTATTTTCTCATGACACTCATGACAAAGAGTAAGTTACATGCAGCGTTAATTATAGTAAAGTTCGCATACCTGAAGGTCCACCAGATGTTGAAGCACATAGTATTCAACCAGAAAAATGCCGCCAGGAAGACGAAGTGCATCGCTGCCGCTGGAAAAAGAAATACATGATTTAGTACGCATTTAAATGTCCGCCGTAGTTATTTACTGCACGAGGAAGTGCGAGTATTTATTACAAATTAAATTGAATTTGGGTTACGCTGCAGGTGAGAAGAAACTGTGCTAAATGTCACGTTTGAGACAAATTCTTTAACGGTCGCTATTGCTTTTTTATTTCTCGAAATTTCCGTACACCCACTTAATATTCATTGGATTGCATCAATCCATCAACGGTAATTTTTATGCTCGTCATTAACAATTTACATAAAATTTGGATGGTGTATGTAACGGGGTTATTAAGTCGTGCTTCGTTAAGATTAGTTATGGGCGCGTTATGGTAATCGTGACAATTTAATAAACGTTATGATCAATTTTCCGATTTTGATACGAATATAAGGTCAATTGTAAATTTGTTGAGCCATAACATCCGACAATTTTGAATTATAACGGTCAATGGTGTTTTTGGACTGTTTCGTAATAACCATAAATGGAACCTGCTTGATGCCAAAGGAATTTAACTCGGAATTTACTATTGACCGGGTTTTGTCACAAACAGCAAGTTCGATGATAAGTAACTATCAAAAACCTCAATTGCGTTCATCCACCGAGTTACGGGTGGGGCGGGTGTTTTTCTTCTTTTTTGTGTTTATATAAATCCTGAGGTAGGATACCACTTTGAATAAGTAGCTCGCTTGAAAATGTGGCATTTGAAATGAGGCACTGGATCTACCATATCATTATTTAAAGGGAATGTTTGATGCAGTTATAGTAAAAAAGTGGGGATCAACAAAAAAACTACCCCCTTTGGAATTTGATAACAATCAACTACTTAACCACCTAAATGTCTATGTCGAATTATGTGTTAAGAATTTCTGAGAGTTCTGAGATAAATTGTTGCAGCATTCTTCTTGTATTCATTGCACTAATTAGTCCAGATTCTGAAGTGGGTGCTACATCCGGAGATCGGAGAGGCCTTTCCACAGATCCTCTTCCGCCTATCCAACTGGCCCGGAAGCACCTACCTGTTATATCTTATGTAATCGAGAAGAGAAAAAATCAAATGAACCTAATGAAACGGTACATTGCTATTTAAAACAATTTTATGTACAATCGTTATTTACCGAAATATATACTATATTCCATACATAGTGGGCACCCTGTATGTATAAATTCGTGGAAAATCCAATATGGCAATTCACCAAATCTGCACGCACATTCCAAAGTAAACTTTGAGAGGTTCAATTGTATACAGGGTGTTAGTAAATTCGAAGTAGATATTTTGAGGTGTGATTGAGAGTGCAAATACAAGCATTTTGACGTAAGGAACACGTGTCCGGAAACGCAATCATTCGGCGCGCGTTATGTCAAAATGCTTATATTTGCACTCTCAATCACACCTCAAAATATCTACATCGAATTTACTAACACCCTGTATACAACTTACGACTATGCACACATTTTTGAGAGATGGCAACCACGCGATTTTTACAAGAGGAAAAGCTCTCTACGCCATCTAATGGAAAGCACGAACGTTGGTTACGTTTGGCATCTTCTTTTGAATGGCGATGGCGGAAGCATCGCTCCGTAAATGTTTGCTATGTTTGTGATAATTAATGCAGGTAGTAATCTTTGCAATTCTTTATATCGTATTTGTGTTTTGTATGCAACATTTTATATTTTTGTTTTTGAAATTGACTTGATTTAACCGTAATGCGAAATCACTTATTTGATACCATTATCTTTTTGTTAGAAATCGTTTACGTTTTTGGTGTAATATTTGCTTAATGTATGTTTATGTTTTGATTACATGGTCTTGTTTGATCAATTTTTTTAACATGTGGAAATTATCGAACTGTTTTGATGCGTGCATCTGTACTGACTTGTTGTTTGTAAACAACCATTGCCGTGAATGAAGCACTCACGGGGGTGGCAAAAAACTGTGATCAAATGAGTTACGACACCTAATTCCGTGATTGTCGTCGACATTCAACTGTAGAGTCAAAACCCCGAAACGAGGGGCGAGTTACATATCTTGGGGGCAAGATTATGCTAATACTTTTTTTTCCTAATCAATAAAAACCATTATTATTATTAAAAACGCTTCAGTTTAGAGTCTATGTGTCGAGAGTCAATGATTTCCACATATTTTGTCGTAACATTGAATAACCTACAAGGCCATATAATTTTATCGAGTCCCAACAATAAAAATGGAGCAATTTATCTCTAAAATAACATAAGTACTCTCTTGTAACCTACAGGCTACACATTTTGTTAATGTTATTGTTATAATTTTATGTTATGCATTCACATCATTACAAACAATGAATTTTGCTACACAATTTAATATTAATTTGACGGCTGGTTTTTTATTGGTAAGTTCGTTTTATCATAGTCTGTTTCTGTTTATTTTCACTAAACTTTCGATCAATAACGATCATTACTAAACAAACTTTTTACAATTTCCGTGTTTTATTTTACGTTCCTTCCCAACTGTACTTCAGGTTATAGCGTAACTAACGTAATGCCTTAGATGTTTGATCACGTGCCACTTTTCAAATTTAAGCGGGATCTTGTTTAGTTTTGGAGGGAATAGTCATTCGGGTGACCAATTTCAACGTTTCCCTCTTATTTGTTTGTTTGTTTGTGTTATTATCTGTTACAGATAAGGCAGAAAGCGCCCTTCTGAGCTCAAAAGGTCATCACAACCAGAGTTCAAAGGCAATTTTTTTAATTTTCGGCGAGTCTTAATATAACGTTATTGATTATATACAGGTTTTCGATACAATCGAAGTGTAATGATTACATTTGCTTGATATTCATTTAACAACTATAGCTCCGTTGTTTTCTGCGGAAGCCTGTTTTTATTTTAATAATTTCCCCACTACGGGTTGATCCCTTTTTGCTAAAAATTCATTTAAATTAAACATTGATATTTCAGATCTAGATACTACACTGAGGACAGTGTGTAGTGTGTAGGAATTTGTAATATTTTGAGATATCGTTTTGGCTAGTGTGCGAGAACCCCGTTATTCGCCCCGACCCACCTACCTGAGCTTACCGTCTGCTTTATCTCATGGTAAATTTATTCATTTGCTTAAAGTGAATAGTGAACGTAACACAATTATAGAACAATCATTCGAACAGACAGACGAACAGACGTACATACACTCAAAAATAAGCTTTTACTATAGTTTCTTTAGCATTTGGGGGCAATGTTGCTCCAAATTTTGAAAAGTGTATGAATTTCGTTACGTAAGGGAAACTTATTGGTTCATACACTGAATTCGTGCTTGTTTATGTTGCTCATTACTTGAAGACAGTGGCAAATCTTTAATGCAGGGTTCAAAGAATGTGTTTTTTTCTGAAGAGTTTGTACAATTTGTACTTGTTAGCTAAATCAGAAATTCGTCGAAATCAAGAAAAGTGTTGACATGGATGCTAAGAATATAACGCTAATCTGCGGGCAATTGTTTCAGACTGTTCTTCCAGGTACGAACAACTTGAATTACTCGGAAAACCAAAGGGAAAATTATTATATGGCAAATGAATTAGATTCAAGCATGCCGCACGTGCAAGCTCAATTGTATAAATTTGTAAATGACATTTGCCGGAAATTGAAGTAACAGTAAAGATTAAGGATATAATGGGACATTTCATCATTTCTTCAATACACTTTGACAGAAGATGGGATGATGAGAAGCGGTCATTGTGTAAAAATTTCCTCGAAAAAAGTTATGAAAGAGGAAATTATCTTCATAATTTATTTGAAACAAAATTTCAAGAGATTAACTTTCAACAACAACTCAAAACTAGCTAAATTACGTACAACCTCCAGTTTGCAAATTCCATATTTTTTATAGACCGTGACTAATTCGCGAAATTAGCGAAAGTATAGAAAGTGATTCAGCCAAACTGATTTTTTCTGGGACATCGTGAATGCTTTTATCATTATGATTATAATTGGTTTATTCAACCTGACCGACATGTTTAATCATTACGTCAGCTAATGATAAAAAACCTTCAATTAATATTAATTATATTCAATACCTTAAGGTAAATAACCTTAGAAATAAACATCCTTAAAGGTAACGTCGTTATTTAATTAAATTGAGGAAAAGTGCCGTTTTGTTTTTCCTTAACGGCGCATAAAATTTGCTAATGGGACCACCAACCTCCGCGCTTACACATAAATGGTACCTATTGTTTAACAGCTTATACCGTTGCAAAAATTATTACTCCACTTTACACACTCGTTAATTATAATTAATCTCTTTGAATTAGTGGTAAAGGTCAATTCACATAAATCATTCGAAGTTTGTTTTCCTAAACGAAATAATTAGTTTAAAAAAACATGCACCGAAGACAATTCCGCTTTGTTTATTAGAAGAAAAACGGTTTCGATTAGGAGAAATTTGAAGGTTTTCAAACCCGCAGCACGTGCTTGTCATACTCATTGTTGTTTATACATATTAAGGACGTAATTTATTTAAACAATGTTCTACGGTGATTGTTATGCAAAAGTCTTAATGAAAAATGCATTAACTTGTGGCTTTTGGAGTACCTACTCGTTTTTACATGGATAGCGACCTTTCGGCGAAAGATTGATTCTGCACATTCGTGAGCCAAACGCTCTATTTTTCGTTAGTGCGACTTTCACGTCGTTTGTTTCGTACAAAATAACGGAATTTTTATTTTTCTGAAGAACATAAACATCTCGTGTTTTCAATTTATGTTCAAATTTAGTTTTAAGTTGATTGAGAAAAGTTTGTCATCACTTACAACGTTTTCTTAAAACTCTTTACGACAAAATCACGGCGAGAACATGTACTATAAGCACAAAGTGAATTCAGTTAATAGTTGATGCAATGTAAGAGAAACCGAAAATTTAGGCTCACTACTAGAGTTTTCTTACAAAAATCACGATCGCATATATTTCAAAACGCAGTGAAAACAGAAAGAGATACGAAAAAAATTATTATTTTTTTTGAAAGA